CTCTTTGCTGATATATTCATGTCCTCTCACGAACAATCCTGGCTTAATAAATGTCCTTCTTCATTCAAACCACTACTTTACCAATACTACATTGACGACTGTTTTTTACTTTTTCATTCCTCCAATCACGTCCCTCTCTTTCTTGACTATCTGAACCGACAGCACCCTAACGTCACATTCGCAGCTGAAGTCGAACAAAACAGAAAACTATCATTTCTTGACATTGATATCTCTCGCACTAATGGAAAATTCACCACTACCGCAAACCTACTTTCACTGGCCTCTTCACTAACTTCCACACCTTCATCCCACTTACCTACAAACTTTCAGTAGTCTCCTGCTTACTACACCGCATCTTCAACCTTTGTTCTACTTACGAAAATTTTCATACACATCTCGAATTCACCAGAAAGTCACTCACCAAAAACTGTTTTCCCTCACGTATAATTGACCAAATCACACGTTGCTTCCTTAACAACACCTTTGCCTCCAAACGACCTGTCCCGACTGCCAACAAAATGCCCATCTATTTTTGTCTTCCTTTCACCGGCATACCCAAACCCAAAATTCCCAAACCAGTGAGATCTGGTGTAGTCTATTTATTCAAGTGTCGAAGCTGCAACGCCTCGTATGTGGGTCAAACCACACGCCATCTACACACCAGATTTTTGGACCACTTGGGAATATCCCCCCTTACAGGCAACCAAGTTTCCCACCCTGTGTTATCAAGCATTTTTGCTAACATTAATGCAACTGGACACACTCCCAACTTAGACGGCTTTAAAATAATCTCCTCTTCCAACGATTCTTATGAATTCTCCATTCATGACACCCATCTAATCAATAAATACAAGCCTTCACTTAATGTGGAAGGAAATTCCATCCCACTTAACCTCTTTTAATTTCTCTTTATTTTATTTCTTAACTTCCTTATCATATAATCCATTTGATACCGCCTCCTTTAGTAGTAATTTAACACCTTTTTGTAAATATAATATCTTGTCTTAACATCCTATTTATTATTTGTCTGAAGATGTCTTGAGTAAAGACAAAACGATACAATAAATTCAATTTTACAACTTTACTGGTCTATTTCTATGGCTCTAATCAAAACTTTATGTTGAGCATTAAATTTTATTACACGAAATCTCAATTTTAATAAAGGATAAGTTGCATAGATTAAGTAGTTAATGTAAAAATGCATCTTTGCTGGTATTCGAAGTGATTATTCAGCAAGATCCGGGGTTTTTAAAACTTGACCATCACTTTCTTACAAGTATAGCTCTGTTGCACATTGGCTAGCACATTGGGTTCTAAATCAAATTTTCTGACTTCATCAGCCAACACGCCTTAAATTAATTAAAACTTTTTTCATAGAAGATAGATTCGCTCTATAATTCACCCCCCTCCCCCTCACACACACAAGACAAAACGCAATGTTATTAGCTCTTATAATCGTGAAAAGTACTCCTAAGTTGCAATGTGATGAGAACACTTGGACAAGATGACGAGTCTTATCTATTTTTATGCAAACTCTCTAATAACAGACAAGTTTTTTTGTGGAAACTCCATATAAAGTTCTGTGCAAACATAAACAAAGTAAACATAGCTGAGGTTATCAAATGTTTATGGTTACCTCAAGGTGGTGATCTTTTTCAAACGTCACCAAGTGTTGACCAACACTTGGTGAAGTTTGAAAAACAAAGAGAAAAATTTTGTACATATTTAACCAACTCTCTTTTTAATTAGATACAAAAACATCTCAAAAATAGTACATAATACATGTTTTTGCATCTTAAACACAGTTTTTCTTCATTAAATGAGGGTTGGTTAAAATAAGACAAATTTTGTACATATTTAACCAACTCTTTTTTTTATGGCAAAAATTTTGTAGACCTAGTACATAATACATATTTTGCATCCTAAACTCAATTTTTCATCGCTAAAACGGTGGGGTAAAAAAAGACAAATTTTGTACATATTTAAGCAACTTTCTTACCGATTACAAAAACATCGTAAAAATAGTGCATGATACGTGCTTTTGCATCATAAACTTAATTTTTCGTCACTAAAAGAGAGTTGTTTAAATAAGTACAAAATTTGTTTTATTTTAACCAACCCCTTTTAGTGAAGAAAAACTGAGTTTAAGAAACAAAAACATGTATCATGCACTATTTTTGCGATGTTTTTGTAATTACAAAGAAAGTTGGTTAAATATATCTAAAATTTGTCTTGTTTTAACCAACTCCATTTTAGTGAAGAAAAACTGAGTTTAAGATGCAAAGACATGTATTATAAATTTTTTTGCGATGTTTTTGTAATTAGTAAAAAAGTTGGTTAAATATGTAGAAATTGATTTTAACCAACTCCGTTTTAGCGATGAAAAATTGAGTTTAAGATGCAAAAACAGGTATTATGTACTAGTTCTACAATGTTTTTGCGATTGAAAACAGATTTGGTAAATATGTACAAAATTTCTCTTATTTTATCAATCAACACCTTTAAGTGAAGAAAAACTGTGTTTAGGAAGCTAACTGCTTGTCACCCCCCAACTGCTTGCTTTTTCTTTGTCTTCTATACAAGAATATCTGCCTTTTCCATGCTTCGATTATAATAAATTGTTTTGAAATCATGTTGCACTTCAAACTGTACCACAATTTCTTTTTTCGTGTGTGTTTTCCCATAGTTTTAATTGTTGGATAAGATTTACTGTGTGGTATAGCGGCCAGGCCTTGCTAGACCAGCTAAGCTTAGTCTCCACGCCTTGGTTTTTCTTGTTGCTTACGTTGAGTTCTATAATAACTCAATTATATTGAGTTATTATAGAACTCAGTGGTTGGTTATTGTACAAATTTTGTCTGGAATAATATCTGCATAGTCGGCGGTTGGATTATTGCGCAATTTGCTATCTTTTAACACCGTGGAAATTGGAAAGAGTGTCAAGTGTCAAGCCATTAACAGCGCAAGTATTTTGTGCAAGTGACACCATGAGACCTGGATCGACACCCAAGCCATAATTTTGTTACGCAATGACTGTGACATCGTTGCAGATGGGAAATAGTAGTAAATCAGCTTGCCAAAATCAATAATATTGATACCAGTGGTTGATACATATTATGTCTACCATGGTCTCTTATACTGCGAGTATTGATATTCTGCGCTATACTTAGTCGAAGTTTCAGTTGTTTGAATATTCAAGAAGTTAATTCCATCGAGATTTTTAAGCTGAAGAAGCTTGTGAACGCTTTTTGGTGCAAGAGAGAGCTTGAACAAGCAAAATTGGAATAACGACGAAGAAATAATTGTGAAATTTCAGAATTGACTTTTCCGCAGAGTCAGAATGACATATAATGCTTTGTGCATCAGTAAGGTAAGATTCTGACGTAGTTACTTGCTATAGATGATAAAAATCACTCAATTATGCTTATGGCCGTTGATGATGTATGTATCAAATGGCGTTAATATGGTGGTCAGTCACTCAAAGTTCATTAAAATGACCTCGTATTTTCATTGAAAATAAGCCATCTCCTTAATTATTAAAGCTTGCTATAACACTACAGCTGTGTCCTTGAAGCTGTTTGCTTTGTACCCTATTGATATATATGTATATAAAATAATGCTACTTCTCAATTTTTAATGCCTGCTATAACACTGCAACTGTATTCTTAAAACTCACTGGTTGCTTTGTACCATATAGATCATATAAATAATAATCCTCCTTCTCAATACTTAAGCTTGTTATAAAAAGGCAAAGTTCTTTATTCCCAAAAGCTGGTTACTTTGTAACCCTACCATATAGATATATGTACAAATAAGCCACCTCCTCATTTATTAAAGTTTACTATGAGAATGCAGCTGTGTTCCTGACAATGTTTGCTTTGTACCGAGAGATATATAAATAATTATCCTACTTCTCAATTTTCAATGCTTGCCGTAACACTGGAACTACACTCCTGAAATTGGGTTGCTTTGACCATATAGTTATAGAAATAAGCCACCTCCTCAGTTCTTAGAACTTTCTATAACACTGCAACTTTGTTCTCTAAGATGTTTGCTTTGTACCCTATTGCTATATAAATAATAATTATCCTTCTTAATTTATAAAGTTTGCTATAAAATTGCAACTAATTCTCCAAGCTGGCTGCTTTGTACCCTATAGATAAATAAATAATGAGCCTCTTCCTCGATACATAACATTAAGCTTGCTAATTTGTTGTATAGCTGAAGCTCATTGCTTTGGACATGATCATTCTCTAACATTAAAAAAATAATTTATGTACCTCAACTATATAACTATATGGTAATATTTTCTACTCAACTTGTTTTAGTACATTGGCTGATGGAAAATGTCTTTACAATGTTTGTTCTATTGTCTTGATTGCAAATGAAAATCTTTCCACCATATTGTGGTGCCTCACCAGCATTGAGTTATATGAAAATGCTTCATACTAAGCTAAGCACCTCCTTTATTTCTCAGTAAAGATGGAGAAAGCGAGGTAATTAAAAGGATTATTATATGGCATTATTTGACCTGAAACGAAGCTTGATTTCTTTGTCGTCCTTGATGTTTTTTACGGGTTAATTTTAACTTTTCTAGTTTTCGTCCATAAAAAATAAATTGTTTCAAATTGTATCGTCTGGATAGTTTAACTGTTTTCCAAGTGTTTTTCCTTCGAATCACATTCGTAAATGGTTTTTTGTTTCGTTTATTTTGCGTTTTGCTGTTTGCTTTACGAAGTTTGTTTACATTTGACTGTAAAATTACGCATTTTGGACCGTGGTCGATTACGGGAAAATAGTAAACCGGCAAAAGTGTTTCTAAGCCATTTAAAGCGCGCCACTTAGCCAGAAGTGACGATAGCCATATAATAATTACCATTATTTACCATAATAGTTACCATTACTTACCATTAACTACCCTTACTTACCATTACTAACAATTACTTAACATTAGTTTCCATTACTTACCATTACCTACCATTACTGAATTTAGTATTAGCTTTTCTGCAATGTTATTGGTTACATATACTCTGTTAGGGTCATGGATCGTTTGTGGTCCAAAATGCGGCGGTTATTGAAAACTTGAATTTAACCCCGTATTGTGAAGAGTGTAAAAGACTTGGCTTTTGCTCTTTACTTGAGGAACGTATAGGGAGTAAAAGTGGATCTTGGAGGCTTTCTATGGTCAATCTTTCGTACGCAACCTGTCGAAGGTAAAGTTATAAGAAAAATGGAGGAGATAATTTTCAATTACAGAATTGTTATGCTCAAAATTTCCGAATAAGACTTAGGAGCATTTAACCCTTTCATTAGTACCATAAGTGTTTTAAAACTCATATTTACTATCGTATAATACATTTATTTTGCGAAAAGGTAAGCTTTACAAGTCTTTGAAAAATAAACATGTTTCGACAAAATAGTCATCATATTGTGGATTTTTCTTTCAGTTACCCGGCTGTTTTAGTGGTGCCACAACACGTGACCGATGACTCTTTGTTGCGCGTGTCTAAAAACCATCGTCATATGCGTTTTCATGTTTCAACGTTGAGACATAAAGTCAATAAATTCGCCGTCTTATTGCGATCTTCTGCCATTGAACAAAGCTCTGTGGCATCCATCGTTCGCTCTGGTGTAGCTGCAAGTGGTGGAAGCACTGACGCAATGCGTTCATCCAACGTGGAGAAAGATAAATAATTATCTGCCGTTGGTTAGTTGCTTACATTTATCGTTTCAACGCTCGTCCCCTACCCTGACATTTAAGTGCCCTCCCCCCCCGCCCCAAGCGCAATGCCTTCCCTTCCCCCATACATACAGATCTATTGCCACCCTTGGTATCACAGCAATATATATTGCTTTAATATAATTATGAGTACGTTGTGGATTCTTGTTTTTTTGAAAATCACATTTTGAATTAAAGTATCCTCAAACAATAAACGAGAACTAATGAAAATGAGTTGTATAATTGTTTTTCTAAAACTGAGTGATTTAGATATAGTATGATTGTCTACGCTATTAATTTATGGATATTGTTGATTTTTGTAAAATATTTATGTATTACAATATAAGTTTTTAGGGACTGTTTGCCATTTATTAAAATTTAATAGCATTAGCAAATGTACCTGTATTTATCACTTTTTTCTTTTGGATCCTAAAGTTTTTGCTTTAAGCATTATTATGTGCTTATGTGCTTTTCTGTGCTTTTAATTTTAAGTGTCTTCAAATCCTGTATCGTGGAATAAAGCGAAACATCGTTCACTGGCAGCCAACGTCAGCATGTCTAAAACAACGATGAATCTACGATCAAATGACAATGCATCTAAACGTGTTTCTGTTGTGGATTCCGTTGACAAAGCAATAACTGAGCAAGGATGTGAGCCTGCTGTACTGTACGTTTTTTAATCTTTCTTGGTGTGTTTATTATCTGTATTATTATTTTAACGATAGTCAATGGCGATAATAGTGTAAGCCCTCAATACCCAAGCGCAAGATCTTACGTTTTGCCATATCCAGTTCCTTTGAAATCGAATGTGTTTTTTTCAGTTCCATTTTCATTTGCATATATAAATATTCTCCACTCCCCCCTCCTCCCAATGATTGAACTGTCAATGTCTGTGCTTAACGTACGAACAACTGCAGTTAATACTTCATGTTTTTTTGTAGGTGACGTCATTTGCTCAAGTAATGTTAGATCCATACTACAGAACGATTAATGGTTTTAAAGTTTTAGTTGAAAAAGAATAGATAGATAGATAGATAGATGATTTATTTCTTAAAAACTGGCAGCCATATTGCTGAAATACGTTTAAGATTACATATAATACATACATAAATAAATTAACTAAATTACATCTTCAATGAGTTAAAAGTCATAAAACTATTTCTAAAACGTTTGGTATTAAAGTTAGTATTGAATGAAGATTGAGTCCTAAGTTCCATAGTTGAACGTTCTAAACGAGGAGGCAAAAGGTCATGAAGCTTATGTGAGGAATCTGCTACTATCTTCTGAAACAACGCTGTTGTTATATCATTCCTCCTTTCGCTAAGGCGTTGTAAATTAGTAAACTGCAGAGCGTTTTCATATTCTTGATGAGGCAGGATTATTTTTAATGCTCGCTTTTGGACTGACTCTAGGTTATCTGACAGATACAATGTCAGACTATTGTGGAACACTGGGCAAGCATACTCCAAGACAGGTCTTATACACGTTTTGTAAAATTGGAGCAATTCCTTGACTTCGATATTTGCTCGTTTTAGTTGAATAAGATAATAGAGGCGTTTACGGCATTTCTTAATTATTTCATTTACGTGGATGTTCCACTTAAGGTTACTGGCTATAACCAATCCCAAAACTTTAGCGTGTTGGACAATATCCAGTGTAATGTTATTGATGGTAATTGGTTGAAGGTCATTGGTATTAGATCCAAAACAAATTCGCATCTCTTTACATTTGCTTTCATTTAACTGGAACTTATCACGCGAGATGCTGTTCGCTAATGTGTCCATTTGGTTTTGTAAGTTACTTGTTTGATCTTTCTCAATTACTTCACTAACAGTGGTATCGTCCACGAATTTCCACATTTCATTATTTGGTAACTTGAGATCGTTAATCATTATCAAAAATAGCCAAGGCCCCAATTTTGTGCCCTGCGGAACGCCTGCAGGTACGAGTTCCCACTCTGAAAAGCAATCGAATTTCAGCTTTACTCTTTGTTTCCTGAAGTAGAGGAAATCCATAATCCAGTGTAGAACCCATTTCGGTATATCAAATGAACGTAGTTTTTCAACCAATAAGTTTTGATCAATCAGATCAAAAGCTTTCTTGAAATCCAATAACAACACACGAACGGCCGCCCCGTTACCATCAGTTGCTTTATTCCACGACTGTAACATACTAAGTAAAGCTATAGTTGTGCTTGAATTTGGAATTGCCCCATACTGATTAGAGTCTATCTTCTTAAGTACAGCTGGCTTGACATAATTTTCCACAACAAACTCCTCGGCTACTTTTGATACAATCGCTGTAAGTGATATAGGCCTTAAGTGTTTATTAATAGTTGTCCTTTGGACATCGTTTCTCACATCGCTGTAATCATACACATTCAACGCAATCAAGTTGATTCACGCCTGTTTTGTTGCAATTTCTTGATGGCGTCCATCAGGTTGTCATTGTTTCTTAAAGTTCTGTTGAAAATTGGGGTTAAGATGGTCTGATGTCCGTCGTCTGAGTATTGTGCGAAATGTTTTTTATATTACACACAAAAAAACCGTTTCACCAAAGCTTGAGTTAAGCATAAATTTTTTTTTGAAAACTTTATTCGATCAAAAATTTTAGTCATGAAGTTAAGGCGCTTTTCTCACCATAAATTTGAAATATACATTTAACTCTTAAAAGCAACTCTTTCGTGGTCATTATCTTCAAAGTTTTCTTGCATTGTACGACTCAATAAACCTCGCAATGACTATTTCAATATCTTGTTAAATATCGAACTTTTTAAAGTGCATAGATCAGGTTAAAAAATAAGTTCTCTAGATAGTTAAATTCATTTTAAGAACATGTGCACAATATTTTTTCAATGTTTTTTTCGGGCCTAAAAGTAAGTTACTCATCGCCATCAGTGACGCACTTAGGAGAACACGCTCGTTTCGTAAAGTAAAAACACCGTATACTATTAAAGAATTTTGGTGGGAAATGTTTAGACATGAATTGTCTCCCATCTTATTTATTTGCTATACTTCAAAATTAATGATAAAGTGACTTAGCCATTTGTTCATATTGTTTGTGTTCTTAGTTACTTTTTTTATTTTTACATTTAAGTTTAGAAAAATTACTCATATCTACATATTTTTTTATGTTCTCAGATATTACGTCAGTATCCACTATCCTTCGAATTCAACGAGTATTATTTACATTTTCTCGCCTATCGTAGTTTCTCCATGCGTTTTCGTACGTTTTTACTGGATTCAGAGCACGAACGTGTGCAGATGGGTTGGCTATCAGATGCTGAAAAGAAAGATGCAAAGACTTCTAAATCTCACATAAAAAGTCTTTGGGATCACATCGACATGCTACACAAAAAATCATCATTATTTTATAATTTCAAGTTTTCAAAAGAACATTCTGAAAAGGTGATTTGTTGATTTGTAGCCATATTTTAGCAAATCTTTGCTGCAACAGTTCGCATGCAATGTAATGAAATTACCTGAATGCTTTTCGGTCATGTAGTTGTGTAATCACCATCAAATTAATTTAAAACAAGATCAAAGAAGAATAGGCATTTAACTCAGTTTTATTTTCAATGGACGCCTTGTTTATCTTCATTTAGTAAATCCTGGAATATCCTTGATTTGTTGTGTTGTATTTAAAGTGACTTTATTGGACTCTAAAACCCATTGAACTAAATAGAACTGGAATATTACTTCCCGCCAAAAATTTAATGCCAGCAATTCAACTAGTCCCAATCTTTCCAGGCAGAGCTTATAAAAGTCCATTTACAGTGATAAGGTAGCGGGATTTCACCTACACACACGGATGTCTTAGAGTAAAATTTGGTAGTGACAATGGTCAAACATGCATAATTTTCTTCTCTAGACAAATACGAGGAATAATACGTATGTCTGTGTTTAATAGACCTTTTCAAGGTTATCGCAGCCATGTTGCAGGGGGTGCAAAAACATTGGGCCGAGCGCGCGGTCACGCATGGCGTCCATATAAATTACTAATAAATGCTCAAAAATTCCCTTATACATATTGGCCATTTCTTTTAAAAATATTTCTCAAGCTCGTCCATTTTAATAGTCGAATTATTATTTGCGATTTTTTACACACGTGAGTCCAATTTTGTGGCAATCAAAAAGCGGAAAGTTAAAGAAAACATTTGTTTTCTTTGAACAACTTGACCGTCGTTTGAGCGATGTTCTTCAGTTCGCAACACACGCACATGTCTACAGCAGTCAGCAAGTATCGCGAGGAACTATTCTACGGCAAACTCTTATTAGTACTTCCAATCATTTGTAAAGAGACATTGCTATTTTTATTATTATGTAAGGCGACTAAACAGCCAGAAGAAGAAACAGCCAAGTATTCAAATACACACTTAAAACTGTTAGTCGATGGCCGGCCGGTGTGAAACCTTACATCATACTCTCTCGTCAACTGTTCAAATTCCAAAAGGACAGGGAGTAAAGATGCCTCACATTTTGCTGGATTTCCATCAAAACTTGAATCAGAATCCTCGGTGTCATAGGCTTGATGAGGACGCTTTGATGTCGTCCATGTTTCTCTTCCTTTACGTTTAAACGGAGTCCTCGATTGCTTGTACTCTGATAGCGTAATAAAAACCGAAGGATAACCCATTCCGCGGTTATTTGAGGCTCTTTTTCCCAAGGGAAAATGAGTTGAGCAAACGAAAGTACCTTGTGCACCAGGCTTTGAGTTAAAGTCATCGGCTCTGCTGTTTACTATTTGTTTTCGCAAAATTTCAGCAAGTGCTTGATCTTTGGGCCACTTATGAAAAACTAACTTTTCTACGTGAGACCTCTTAACATGAAATCAAGATAGCGTTTATCATTATCGCAATATCCAACTGCACAACGCGCATTTTTTACTATTTCGGCCATGACTGCTCACAGCTACTCGGCTAGTTCAGGGTTTAGTTCGTTTGACTTGGCTTATGAGTTCCGCACATTTGCCAACTCAAGAACATCGCTCAAACGACGGTCAAGTTGTTCAAAGAAAACAAATGTTTTCTTTAACTTTTCACTTGCTGATTGCCACAAAATTGGACTCACGTGTATAAAAAGTCGCAAATAATAATTCGACTATGAAAATGGACGAGTTTGAGAAACATTTTTGAAAGAAATGGCCAATATGTATAAGGGTAATTTTTGCGCATTTATTAGTAATTTATATGAACGCTATGCGCGATCGCGCGCTCGGCCCAATGTTTTTGCACCCCCTATAAATATGGCTGCGATAACCTTGAAAAGGTCTATTATATTGTGCGATGTTTTTAATGAGATAGAACAAAATTTAAACAAAATTTCTTAGTGTAAATTGGAAAGGTTTGATTATAAATTGGAACGAAAATATATTGTTGCTAGAATTTCGCTCACAAACACAATAATTATAACTTATTCAGCATCTAAAATACAGTTACTAAGTCACAACGACTCGTTTCCTTTATTTTCTGTAGAAGATTTTCTTCTCGTAAACCAGATTTAATACATTACCTCTAAATTCCCAGGTGCTTCGTCCTCATTGCAACGTTTCCAATCTAAAATTATGGAGTTATTTTGTTTCGGAGAATGTCTCCACTGGTCCAGAGTTCGATCAAGTAGTCATAAATGAGACAGAAACTGCTGCCGAGGAAGGACAACAGAAATTAGATAACAAGAACGATGCCAATAGGTATAAATAAGATATTGCGTTAAGAAGTAAACGCGTTTTCATTTAAAACTTAGCAAAGTACCTCTACGATTTGCGTGTTTCCATTAAAAATTAGTGAAGTACTTCGATACTTAGCGTGTTTCCATTTGAAAATTATTGAGTATTTATTAGTTAGGATGTTTCCATTTAAACATTATGTAGTACTTCCATTGTTAGCATGTTTTTATTAAAAAATAAGTTTAATGCCATTCGTAGCTTGCATGCTTAATTTTTTATGAAAGAATGTTATATGCAGTGTGGTGTTGAAATTAAATGAAAATATGATCTTCGCACTTTTGCTGGAAACTTAAGCAATTGTCTCATGAACCTGAAAAATTCAGGTGACTTAAGGGGAATCGACCCTATGACCTCTGCGATTCCGGGGCAGTGCTCTAACCAACTGAGCTATGAAGTCACACAGTGGAGAGCATGTCAATTTGTTGGTCAATTTGTTGGTCAACATTTATGAGATGTGTTCAAGAAAGTTGAAGTTGTTATCAGTTCAAGGTATGACACACAAAAAATATATAAAGTTGCAATTACTATACGTCATAGATGATCAGTTATTTTATCTGTAATATTAATGATTTCGGACTTTGAATATATTCTTGGTTTGCTTTAATTCTAAAGCGTTAAAACGTTTACAAAACCAATAGTACTCAATAAGCATTTAAAAATTATTTGTCGGGCGTTCGTTTAAAGCAGTGAGTTATGATTGAAGGGAAACATGATTGGACGATTTTAAGTTTAAATGCAGACCGGGAGTCGGACGATTTGACGATTTAAAAATCAATAAAAATTATTCATAGCATGAATTTATAGTTATAACAAAATAAGGCAAATTAAAGCGTTACATTTATTAGTCCTCTATTATAAATTTGAATCCACCGCTAAATGACTAGTATATAGCGCAGAAGACAGGGGCGGATCCAGACTACGTCAAAATGCGTCGCATGACGTGGTTGAAAAATTAATGGAATAGTAAATTTACTTTCCTTTTTCATAGATCCATCACGACCTGCAACTTCTAAATTTAATATTCTATATCAATGACCCGTAATAAATCGCAATTTGTTAGACAAATCTAACAAGTTCGAAGTGCGTTATATTTAACGCACAAATTGCTTGTCTCCGATATAATGATACTTGTATAAGTAAATTACATGAAGTATTTCATTAAGCCGAAAGCCGAAGCTACAATATTCTATATATAATATGAATGATGAATCTTTAATTAACTACGTCGTTGCCTGCAAGTTTTGACTAAGTTGAAGGCATGGGTAAGCTTAAACTCAACATCTTATCGGTCAAAATCATGAAATACGTCATTCTGCATGTTATCGAGCCTTTGTTTTTACCAAAATTCGGCGCAGTTTTATGTGGAAATCCAGCAGAACAAAAAATCCTCATGCACTTGCATGCACTTGTACGTTGATCAGTCGAATTTTTTGTTGCTAGATCTAGACCTTATTTAAGGATGGCGTTGTTTCAACATCTTGTTAGCAGCGCTTTTTCTAGCAAAGATGTAGAAACTTTGGTGTCGATTTACGAGGAATTATTATCGTCTTTGCGATCTCTCAAAACTTACACGTCGGAGAACTTAGCGCAACGTATCGATTGTGTGTTGATGATGTCTTTATCGACGTTATTAAAGCAGTAAACTTTGTTTACAATATGAACATAGTAGCCCAACATAAAACTTTTAAAAAAGCCATCACAATAGTAAAATAAAGGAAGATTTATTAATAACGTTTCGTCTTTAACTTAAGACATCTTCAGATTATTTGAGATAAATTATATACGTGAGGTTTTAAATACAAGCATATAAGAACGTGAAGGGGGATTGAGTATACCTCTCTTGTTCATCTCTTCTTGTTTATCTTCTTGTGTAAATTGTTGTTTATCATTGATGTATTTGCGTGCAATAAACTTTTTTTTGTACTAATTCAACAAACGGCTAACATGTTTGTTGTATTTAAGTAAATGGTTTGAACCCGGGAGTATCGTTGCATGTTTGTAAATGTAGATCGTCCAGGTTGGTATAGTCCTGAGAAAGACTGTTTTTGTTGTTGTTGACTGACGTTTCGACTACCTTAGCGGTAGTCATCTTCAGAGTCAAATTAGGAGTAAACGTAAGGTTAGCCGTATTTGCTATCTGGCTCTTACGTCCTTGTATTGTGTGTACAGGAAATGTGTATTGTCATTGTGAATTAGTGTGAAGTGAAATATTTTATTTTTAGTTGTGATGTGTGATTTAGGTGTGATGTTTTAATTGTAATGTGTGGGTGTCAATTATGTATTGTCATTGTGAATTAGTGTGAAGTGTAATGTTTTTAGTTGATCGTTTGTTTGTATTGTGAATAAGTCGTTTGTAAGGTGCCGGTAATTGCTGTGATCTGTTCAGGGGGGTTTGTTCGAAGTTCGTATAGCAACTTTCTAATGTAAGCCGTTGTCTATTGTCAGTACTGTAAGTAATGCATTTTGCCGAGTCCCAGTCAATGTTGTGCTTTGTGATTCGGTGATGTTCGGCAATGTGATTATTTTTGTCTTGTTTCTTAGTAGCTCGTTTGTGTTCAGTAAGTCTTATGTTTAAGTTCCTGCCAGTTGCCCCGATATAGCAGGCGTGGCAGTCGGAGCAGTTTATTTTGTAAACTGCACCTTGTCGTTCGTTGGGTTGCTCTTTGTCCTTTATGTTCGTTAGTACTTGTCGTAACGTTGTGATTGGTTTATGTGCGACACGTATGTTGTATGGTCGTAAGATACTCGAGATAGTCGCAGACGTACCTTTGATGTAAGGTATCGTTGCTGTTGTCACTGAGTTGTTCGTTTCGTTGGGTTCGTTGGGTTTGTAAGTGTTGCGTTTGATATAGTCAGAGTTATAGTTGTTTTTGTCAGAAACACGTTTGAGATAGTTGTTTTCGTTGTGTAGAGCGTCCGGTGAATCACATATGATTTGTGCACGTCTTGTTAGTAATCTGATTGTGGTGGCTTTGTGTGATGTAGGGTTGTATTCAATCTCGTCTGCATGTAGTGCTATGATTGTGTCATCTACGTAGCGAAACCAAAAAGGCAGTGCATGTTTGTAAGTCGTGAGCGCCCGTTCCTCTATAGATCACAATGACAATACATAATTCACACACATTACAATTAAAACATCACACCCAAATCACACAGCACAACTAAAAATAAAATATTTCACTTCACACTAATTCACATTGACAATACACATTTCCTGTACACACAATACAAGGACGTAAGAACCAGATAACAAATACGGCTAACCTGACGTTTACTCCTCATTTGACTCTGAAGATGACTACCGCTAAGGTTGTCGAAACGTCAGTCAACAACAACAAAAACAGTCCTTCTCAGGACTTTACCAACCTGGACGATCTACATTTACAAACATATAATGTTTCTTGAGTGTTTGCTTTTTCTTAAAAACACCCATTTTTATGATCCGATTTTTGAAGGGCATGCGAGGACAAGTTTTATATTAGTATATATTTACATGACTTCTGTATGGAGTTGTGCACTTTGAAATAGTGTTAGTAGAATGGTTGATAGTTTTAACATTTCTATACATTTCATGACGTTTTCAATGTAATTTTTCGTGTTATATATATTTATAAACAGCTTTATAAATTTTATAATTATTCAAGTACAGCGTTTAAATAATTGTGATATTCACCTTATATAAAGATCTTAGATGTTTTGTTATTTTCACATAACGCAAACAAAATCTTCGAAAGGATAATTAGACTTTATTATAAGGGTTGGGTAGTTTTCGCCCCAAATAAAAATAATTCTTGTATGCTGTCTAATGGTGATATAAATTAGTTGCATAATGAAAAAGGACTTATCAAAACATAAACTTCCGCACTAAAATAAGCTGGAAATAATAGCTCATGCAAATTCACCGGAGTTCCTTTCGGTTATAGCTTTTTTGATGGTCACAACAACAAAGCCAATATCACATTTTAATTAACGCCCAAACGATGGGTGGTCACACTCTTCAAGTTTGGTATATACAAAAGAAAGGTCAAGACCATTTTAGGCTTGGACTACTGGGCTCTCCATCAAAACACATCTCCTTTCTGTTACAAAGTAAAGAATACAAGAAGCTAATTTTTGGTAAAGGATTTCATACATTACAGATCTCTTACTGAAAATAGGAAAAGATATATCCCCAAGGCCCAAAGGTTGGTGAAAGTTTTTCTTATTCTCTCGATAATACACGTGTCATGATAAACATGGCACAAGAAAATAGAATCGGCATTCAATTTAAGTTGAGAGCTTACTGCCATATTAACATACTCAAGATCATCTAACACCAAATAAAAAAAGGAAAATGTTGTATACAAATAAAAAACAGCAAAAGGTAGCTCATTTTGTTAAAATTGTGACAGGAAGTTATCTTCGATTTGACTAAGCCTGAATGCTTCTACTGATTTCGTCAGGGCGAATTCTCATTTATCATTGATGTATTTGTATGCAATCATCTCTTTTTATAATGATTCCAAACGTGACTTGTATATTTTATCGCTTATTTCATGTTTGCTCTTTCTCCAAAAAGAAATGAAATAACATCTCTAAAGTTTTTATCATAAGATGTTTCCAAAGTAGCTGTAACCTTCACAAATTTGACTTCCTTGTCACAAATTAATTTTTCCACAAGCGATCGAAGCGTTGGCGTTTGTATTTGTGCATTTTTTGTCACTGTTAGGCAGGGATTATTTCGAGGATGAGAATCATTTAGTGAAAGTAAAGTCGCAGAAGCAATTGGTATACAACGCTCAATTTTACTTTTACACCACTGAATACACCAATGAATAACTAGTATGTAGCGTAGACACACCATAGATGAATTTTGACAGAATTTTATGTGATTTAAAAAGAAAATATTTTGTTTGAGCTTTTTCACTAAGCCTTTTCAATGTTTTATTTGTGTCTAAGCCATCTATACGACGACATATGAATTATATATAATTTAAATAAACTAATTCATGGTAGATGATTGCGTACAATTTAAAACTCAACGTAGACAATTCCTTTCTTACGATGGAACTTAATTGTTTTGTATTTTCCGTTGTTCCCTTTTTTCGGACCAAAATGTATGGTATTTCCTAAGTTATTTACGAAGTTGCTTGACGGAAATGTCGTCGTTGCTTTGGGATTTGTATTTATTTCAGCAATAAAAGTTCTTGTAAAAGTCTATGCCCGCATTCTAAAAGCTCACTCACATTCACGTATATTGAGAGCGACATAAAATCACACTCTATCTAATCTTCAGCAAAGTCACTTCTCCATCTATTGCAAGATATTCTCCTAGATATTTCAAATCATAGGATCAGTTGAAAGAAACTGAAGATTTGATTCGAAGCCCCACTTATTGACTATGCATTGCTTGGCATGTTTTCTGTGCGCATGCTTTAAGTCCACCGTTTTTCTGGCTAGTAACTTGACAACAGTGTACTATGAAGTTGTATTGACAAAAAAGTGATTTTGGAACATTAGTCCAAAAGATTTTGAAAGAGGGCAAAAGGTTTTAAGAAAACAGGAAAGATATATAAGATATATATATTGTGAGAGCTCATAGTTTCATTGCTAACAAGTACGTAAATGTTCGTTCGTTGCTAAATTCGACGTTTCAATGTAGGTTATAGGATTTTAAATATGGTTATGTTAACGAAAGACGAAAATAGAATTATAAATTGAACGTGACTTAGCTGAAGTCGAAGTTTGATTAATATTCTATGAGTTACTGTTCAGGAACTAGGAAGTTATCTGAAATAGAGCGTGCGATATCAAGATCAGTTTATAAAATATTTACGAACGTCCTTATACATATTGGAAGGCAAGTAGTATTTAACATCATTCTAAAAGAAGTAAGTTAGTTGTTGGGTGGGTGACTTCCTATTTCCTGAACAGTAACTCATAGAATTTCAATCAAACTTCGACTTCAGGTAAGTCTTGTTTAATTTTCTAATTCTATTTCGTCACTGTTCTACGTCACTACGTAGTCATGTGAGATTGTAAAGCAATATGGACATGAGCAATAACTAATAAAAAAATTATATAATTGAAATTTTACATTTCATGTCTCACAAATGGCAGAAAATAGATCATTGCCAAAGTTTTTTGCCTCAACTGGTTTAATATAAAATGTTTGAAAAGTTTGTTCATTACGCCATGTAGCTGCATTCATAACAGTGTCCATAGAAATATTCAATGCTTTTGCCAAAAAAGTTGATGCAATTCTAGTACTGTGTGCACTGTAAACCTTAGTATTTATACCATCATCATTTAACACGTATTTTAAACATCGAGAAATGATCGCTTAAATGACCGAATGATAAGGTTTTTAAAAGCTCAATAGGAGTTGTCTTGCACCATTTCGTATGGGTGCAGTAGCAATTAGATAATGGGACAAGCAATTGAATACACATAACCCAAGCTCTGGTGGATAAGCCCGAAATTCTAAAGGAGCAGCATGCTTACCAGGTTTAGATGTTTTGAGCAGTTGGTGCACATGAAAATCTATTCGATCTTCTTTCTTCTCCATATGAGAAATATCCAATGTATAAAGTGTTTGGCATCGCTGACCAGATAATAAAACTAAAAGCATTACTGTTTTTAGTGTTAATGATTTCAAATTAAGATCTTTTGCAGTTTGGAGATTTCGAAGATGTTTAAATACCACTGAAACGTCCCAGACCATGGCATACCTAGGAAGAAATTGTCTAGCAACAAATACACCTTTGACAAACCTAGCAACGAGTGGATGTGTACCAAACGAGATGCCAATTGGTAATATTAGGATAGTAGATAAGGCGCTCCTTGCGGTATTAATCGACAGGATCGATATTGTTTGCATCGCAATATTGTCACCAACGGTTAAGGTATGTAAGATATTTATTCTTGGTACCGGTCCGCAAAGATTGCTGGATGATTTGAGAAGCCTCTGGTAAAATGCCTCTATCAGAGAGGAGTTTTCCGATAAATGGCAAAGTAGTAGCTCCAGTTTTGT